GAGAGACTTAAAGGAAGACACCAAGGTTTTTGGGAAAGCATTAGAAAGAACAGGGGTGTCACTACTAAAGTGGAGAAGACTATGAGGAAGTAGATTTTTTTTCAGTTTTTGACATGTTAAGTTTGAGATTCTCATTAAACATCTGGTTAGAGATAATAAATAGGTAATTGAACATTCAAGTCCCTATAACAAGTGAGAGGTTTAGGCTAGAGATATAAATTTACAAGTCATTAACCAGAATAGAGAAAGCATTTAAAGCTATAAAACTCAGTGAAATCATCAAGGAAGTGAGTGTAGGTATAAAAGAGAAGAGAACTAAGGTCTGATTCCTGGAGTACTGTAATATTACAAAGTCAAGAATAAACCAGGAAAGGAAATGAGACTGAAAGGAGGCAGACAAAAAATCAAGAAAGTGTGGAGTCTTAGAAATCAAGAAAAGAAAGCTTATAAAGGAGAAGGGAGTGATCATTTGTGTCAAATCTTATTGTTAGATCAAGGCCTGGGAATTGACTATCAGATTAAATGAGGTGAAGATCATTGGTGTCATTGACAAAAACGTTTTAGTAGAGTTGTTAGGCAAAAGTCTAATATAAGTGGATATAAGAGTGACTGGAAAAGTGTTGTACAAAAGGAGAGGTGGGCAGCACTCTCCTTGACGAGGATAGAGGAGGCTCTTGGGCCTGACAACACACATGTGGTTAAGACATTACTACCTATTTCATGGCATATAACCATCATATTTTTATGTGAAGTGAAATAAGTCAGACAGAGAAAGACAAATACCTATGGTTTCACAAAACAAACAAAACAAAACAGGCTCATAGAATCAGAGACCAAAGGGATAGTTGCCAGAGGGAATAAGGATGGGAGGATGGGTAAAAAAGATGAAAGAGCATATTGTCAATAAAATTGTAAGTTTGCAAGGTGACAGATGATTACTAGACTTGGTGGGGTGATCACATAATAAGGTATAAAAATGTTGAATCACTATATTATAAACCTGAAAGTAATATCACTAATATAATATTAAGTATACCAACTATACTTAAATTGAAAAAAGAGTGAATTGGAGAAAAGCATTTAGAAAGATCAAGTATAAACAGTACTTATTAGAATTTTATATTAAAAAGGGGAATTGAACATTAACTGTGAGAGGATCTGGGGTCGAGAGATTTTTTTTTTAGTAGGAGGAATGACAGCTTCTTTATATGCTATTTTATATGCTAATACAAAAGTTCAGTAAAGAAGAAAAACTGGTATTACAGGAGAGGTAATATTTGTTCAAGTCTTGTCCTTCAATAAGTTAATCAGGATAGAATCTAGTTTATTGATGGTGGTTGGCATTTACTAGGATTGTTACATCCTCTTGATGAAGTCACCTGTTTATCATTATGAAACATTCTCCTTATTTCTGATAATTTTCCTTATTCTGAAGTCTACTTCCTAAAGATTATTTAGCTACTCCAGTTTTCTTTTGATTAATATTAGCATAGTATATCATTTTATATCCTTTTACATTTAGTCTCTAAATGCCATTATATTTAAAATATTTCTTACAGACAGCATAAAGTTTTATCTTGCCTTTTTATCCAATTGGAGTATCTCTGCCTTTTAATCAGAATGTGTAGAATATTTAAAATTAATGTAATTATCAATATAATTGAGTCTAAATATACCTAGCAACTTTTTCTATTTGATTCATATGTTCTTTTGTTTCTTTTCTCCCTCTTTTCTTGTCTTTTTTGGATTGAGTGGTTTTTAAAAATAATTATTCAATTCATCAGTTTATTAACTATACCTCATTGGTTTACTTGTTGTGAATCATTTCTTTAACTTTCAAATATAGTTCTTTAAGTTATCAAAATCTACCTTCAAATGTTATACTACTTCACATATAGGATAATAACCTTATAAAAGTACATGTTTATTCCTTCCTCATCCTTGTTCAATTGTCATACATTTTACTTCTACATATGTATAAACTTCTCAATATACTGTCATTATTTTTATTTTGGACAATTTTTTTCAAAATATCTTTTAAATGAGAAAAGATCTGTTATATTTGTATATACACTTATAATTTTTGTTGCTTATTACTCTTTGTGCAGGTCCAAATTTCCATCTCATGTTAGTTTTCTTCTACCTGAAGAACTTCCCTTATCATTTCTTATAGCACAAGTCTGCTAGCAATGAGTTATCTCAGTTTGTGTCTGAAAATGTCTTTGTTTTGTTTTAACTTTTAAAGACAGCTTTATTGAGTTATAATTGTCCTACAATAAACTGTACGAATTAAAAATGTACAATCTGATAAACTTTGGCATATGTACACACTGGTGACACTCTCACTACGATCAAAATAATGAACATATCCATCACCCCAAAAGTTCCATTTCCCCTTGTACTCCTTCCAACTCTTCCTAGCCCACCACACTCCCCTTACCTCCAGCTTCCATAAGCAAAGAATAATTTACTTTCTGTGAGTACAGATTTGTTTGCATTTGGGGGAATTTTATGTAAATGGAATCATACTGTGTGCATTTATTTGTATTTGGCTTTTTTCACTTAACATAATTAAGTTTCACTCATGTTGCTGTATGTATTGATAGTTCATATGCCACAATTTGTTTATCCATTTACCTATTAATGGACATATGAGTTGTTTCCAGCTTTCAGCTATTACAAATAAAACTTCTGTGGATCTTTGTGTGCATGTCTTTGAGAACATGCTTTCATTTCTCTTAGGTTTTGACTTAATTTGGCCAGTGCAGAATTTTAGGTTGACAGCTTTTTTTTCCTTCAGTACCTTGCAGATACCATCTGGCTTACAAATCTGAGGTAAGTCTGCTGTAATTCTTATCTTTGTTCTTCTATATGTAATGTGTCTCTTTTCCTCTGGTTCTTTTAAGATTTTTCTCTTTTTCATTGGGTTTTAGCAATTTGATTATGATGTACGTTGTGTTTTCTCTTCATGTTTGGGAATTACTAAACTTCTTGGAACTGTGGGGCTTTAGTTTATATCAAGTTTGGAAAGTTTTTGATTATTAATTTTTCAAAAATTTTTTTCTTTTCTTACCTCCTTTCTTTCTGAGACTCCAATTACATATTAGAATGCTCAATATTGCCCTACAAGTCCTTGGTTCTGCTAATTTTCTTTTTAGTTTTTTTCTCTGTATTTAATTTTGGTAGTTTTTAATGCCATGTCTTCAAATTTACTTATTTTATTCCACAGTGTGTAATCTGCTATTATTGCCATCCAGTGTATTTTTCATTTCAGATGTTTTTTATTTCTACAGTTTCAATATGCATCTTTTTAAATATCTTTCTTTTGTCTCTTGATCATGTTTATATTTTGCTTTTGTTCTTGAGTATATGGAGCATATTTATAATAGCAGTTTTAATTTCATTGTCAGCTAATTCTATTATCTGTGTCATTTCTGTATCTGTTTCTAGTGACAGCTAATTTTCTCTGGCTTTAGGTCACATTTTCCAGCTTCTTTGTATTCCTGGTATTTTATTATTTTTATTAATAATAATTTATTATTATTATTATTAATTGTTATTGTTATTATTATTATTATTATTATTATATGCCAGACATTGTGACTTTTACATTATTGGTGCAAGATTTCATGTATTGCTTTTCATATCTTTGGGCTTTGTCTGGGACATGTTGAATTACTTAGCATTAGCTTGATCCTTTCAAAGCTTTGATTCAGTGCTAATTTAACCCCACTGCTAAGGTAATACATTTCTGAGGACATTATCAGATGTCCTACATATTAGAAGATCTTTCTACTCTGGTTGGTATAAACAAATTATAATCAGCTCTATGTGACCCCTATGGATTGTTCTACCTATTCTTTTCCTGTGGTTCTTTCCCAGCTTTGGATAGTTTTCTCATACAAATGTACATACCAGTACTCAATCCAACACACAAGAGGACTTCTCTGTAGATCATCACAGAGAAGTAGCTCTTTCTTTTTACGTCTCTCTCCTATTGTTTTTCTAGATGTCTTGGCCTCCCCAAACTCCAATATATGTCTCCTCCACTTAGCAAGACTACTAGGTTTTAGTGGGGTTTCCTTTCTGGCACTGTAGTCTGAAACTCCACTGGAAAATAAATCACTACAATAATAAGGCTCATCTCATTTGTTTTCCTGTTCTTAGAGATCACTATCCTGTTCTACCTGTTGTCAAATACCTGAAATCTGCTTTCATATATTTTGTCTCATGTTCATGTTGTTTAAGATAGAAGGTTAAGTTAAGGTCTATTACCCCATCAAGGCCAGAAGTCTAAAGTTGAGTCCCTGACCTTTTCTGGAGTGGAGACAGTTTATCCATAGTAATACAAGAGAATGTAAAATATACAGACACAGATGCACACAGATAGGTAAATGTGGTGATGACAGTTCAGAATTTTTGTTTTTATTGCTTATATTTTCCAGTGAAATAATTGCAAAATTATTGGCTTAGGGTGGGTATGGGAAAAGAGGTTTCGTGAGCTTGAAGGGAGAGAAAGTATGACATAATCCTATAGGAGGGTGGGATTTTAAGTGGACCAGGTAACTACAACATGGTTGGTATGCAGCAGTAAGACTCTTCTTGAAGCTAATGATCATAAATTTCAAGTCAGAGCATTGGTTTTGGGTTTTTTTCAGACATGTTTAGCTATGTAGTACAAGTACATATTAGTTGGATTTAACCACATTTGGTATTTTAGCAATTGTCAGAAAAATTTCCTGACACTGGGAAATAAGGAAAAACTGTGAATCCAATGTCCTTGTCATATGGCAATGAAGGCCACCAAGGATTATTTAGTGAAATGAACTTAGTTAAACCCACTGTTAACTATGGATTAAAGGTCCCAAGCAATATGTGAAGTTGCATATTAAGTTGTAGTTCTTTTGTCCAGTTGAGATGCAAATAATTCCTGCCTAGTGGAACATACAGTTTATGACCCTTGTTTAATGTTAATCGGGTTTGTATCTCATCTAGCAATCTTATACTTAGCTTCTTAAATGCTTTTTTAACTTGTCATAACTTCAGTGAGAGAAAGGATGAAGGAGATTCGTCTTTTCCATTGAGTGGAGAAGTTGAACATATAGAAAGTTTTGCTGCTGTTGGACCATGAAATCCAAAAGGCATACAGAAATTCTTTCAGGGAGGTAAAATGCAGTGGAAAGCAGAATGAGAAAAGGGAATGTGTGGCATCATATGAGTATTGGAGTCTGAGAAACGGAAATGAATGGGAAGACATGAGCGTTTTGAAGAGACAAATACAAAAAATGTTAAAAGACAGAAAAAAAAATAGTAATGGTAGTGGTGAGGTAAGCATGGAAAGGTTTTGCTAGGAACATAAAAAGCCTTATGGATCTCACTTGAACCCCTGATTGATGCTAAAAGGCCAGCAGAAGGCCACTTGTACAACAAGCAGGGGATTTACTGTGTGTGTGGAAACATGATTTTTGGAGCATACATATACCATTAGGAAATAATTAGAAATGATGTAGATAAGAAATATGGTGACTGATTACAGTAGTCTCTCCCTTATCTGTTGTTTCACTTTCCATGGTTTCAGTTACCCATGGTGAACCTCAGTCTGAAAATATTAAATGGGTAATTACAGAAATAAATAACTTGTAAGTTTTAAATTGCACACAGTTCTGAGTAGCATGATGAAATCTTGTCCACACCACTCAAAAAGGATGTGATACATCCCTTTGTCCAGCATACTCATGCTGTA